GTAGTATTTTGACTGCGGAGGAAGATTTTATCACATGACTTCATCGACTGATTCATCAGACCGACTCGTCGTAACAGCTTCTCCCTCCTAAAATCTTACTCACCCATTGCTTTCTAGCTAACTTTCTTAATTCCCTCTCTTTTTCTCTACTTATCTTATATATTCCAATCTCATCATCAATTTCATTGCTGTTTCGATACATTGTATATATTCTTTTAGCTATCTTGATTCTATATTGAGATAGCTCTTTCTTTCCTTTCGGATAATTTTCTATCACTAATCCTATTGTATAATATAGTCCCTTGTTAATTGTTCCTCCTCCTTCTAATTCTAACTCCATTTCTTCTTTCACATCCTCCCACAACTTTCTCCAATCTTCCTCTCTATCTATCACTTTCCTCCTTTTTTCTCTATGTTTCTTCATCTTCTCTGCACCAGTTAATTTCCTTTTAGGAGCGATCCTGTTCATATTTCTCGTATATGTCAGGTGTGTCGCATCTGTCATCTCTATCTTCCTCTTCGTCATCGACTTCATAGACGGAATATGTTGGGATTCTGGTGCCTGGTATGACGAGTCTTCCTGACCTCCACTCGTCGTCGAACCATTGTCCATCATCAATTCCTCCAATCCACATTGGCTGTTCGCAGATGATGACACAGCTGATGCTTCTGCCATTATGTTCGATTGTCCGGTGGCGGTTGCCGAAGTAATTGGGTCCATTATTGTTGATGACATAAGGGGTGATTCCGTCTTCTGATTGGTCGATTTCCCAGGGCTGAATTCGGTCGATTGCTTCTCGTTCATTTCTTGATCCCTCTTCATTACTTCCTCTTCCCACAGGGCTAAAAGGTCTGTCCCTGTACTCATATTCTTCATTATCTCGTTCCACAGGTCTAGGAACTCCGGGCATTGTGATTGTATATTTGTCCAAGTTTTGCTCGATGTCGGATATGTCGCTGCTAAATCCGATGCTTTGGTCATCGTCGATGTTGTCGTCGTCATCATCGTCACTGCTGTTGGCTTCTGATGGGTCTGATTCAATGTAGATGATATGCTGGACTTCTGAGGCCTCGAACTGTGGCATGAATCCACTGTTGACACTTGTATCTGGCTGGGGTTCTGGTTGGACACTTGATCGGATTTCTTCCATGGCCGATCCTGGTCTGGTTGGTGATGGAGGTCTGTATGGGGGTGGAGTTGTTTCTGGCGGTGGTGGTGGAGTTCTGATTCTACTTCTTTCTCGTAGTGCTTGGAAGTAATCGTCTTCCCATCCCTCTCCATGTGCTCGATCCATGAACTCATCGACATTTTGTTGGGCATCATGTGACCACTGACTGGTTCGGACGTTGCTCCAGTGTCCGAGGACATCGTCCATGTCACAGGAGAATACAAGTTTGTTTTCATGGTCTCGGAGTTCATATTGGACGTCGTGTGGTCGGACAATCTTCTTGTGTCCCCATAGGAGTCCTGTAAGGAAAGGTAAGTAGAAGAGCCAATAGTCTTTTGGTCCATTTCTATTCTGGGCATTCCACTCATCGATTGCCATGTTGGCCTCCATTCCTTCTGTTTCCCATCCAAGAGGGTCTCTTTCAATATGGTCTCGGACTCGTTCACTGTCGAAGATGGCCACAGGGTATCCATCCTCTCTCCTTCTGATAATGAAGTGTCGTATCCCATCCAGATATTGGAAGTTCCGTGGTGGGTAGTCGTTTGGGATTGCTTCAATAAGTTCTTGGTCGCAGTTGATTCTTGCATTCTGCCTGTTGATTTCGTACCTAAAGTCAGGGATGGAGGTACGATCAATGAACATGTTAGTTCCCCAGTATTCTTCACGGGGTTCTTCTCCGTTGGCGATTGCTGTTTGTCTTGCCACATCAGCAAGTCTTGC